GTTTAAATTTGTAATTATTAATGAAAGTTGATTCAAAATTTTCCATAAATAAATTACAAAAAAATCGGGGTAGTGGTGACTATAATAAATAATTGTGAGGAAATTCTGTCTTTCTTAAAAACAAAAATTTTTGAGGCGAAATACCCAAAAAGAAGTTTGTAAAAAAGTTAAAAGTGTAGCTTTTGGAGGAAAGTCTGCGCGAAACGATTCAACGGTTTTCCACACCAAACGCACAAACTTCTTAGCCGCTGCTTCTGTGTGCTTAATTTAGTATAACTTCAGTTGTGGCCACTTTCACTTTCTCAGGAAAATAAATTTGCGCTATCAAACACACCATAGACAGACTCTTTTTCGCGTATTTCTCAAGTAGAAGATTTGACCAGTTTCAAGTTGAGTTACAAATACATTTATGCATGTTCGACAGTTTTTGTAGAATTTAAATTTTGGCAAATAAACTGAAGTCCCAACTTTTGTTACTGCTGTTTAGGTTAAACATACCAACATTTCCAGTACCTTTTGCGAAGCTTCTTCAATCAGACAAGGGAAAAGCATTCGATTAATCGATAGAACAACAGTTAAACCGACTATATGAGACCAGAAGACATAAGTTAGTTTTAAATGGGGTTAAAGCGACAGCTATTGGGAAGTTTGGGGTTGTATTTCATAAGGGTTGATACCCGATTAGGAATTTATTGTTGAAGACAATGGCCGAATGGACCGCACACACCAGCCGCTGGCAGGTTGTTTATTAGATTTTAATATGGACTTGGGATACGTTATGGAAAGTGTAGTCTTTGTGGGTAGGCAGGATTATGGGCGCTTATACTAGTCATTTGGAAACAATTCAGGACAGTCAAAGCTTGTCCCCAATTATTCAGATTTACTGAGATGGGACAAGGAAATGAAAGCGTCTTTGTCATTAAATCGGTAAAACTGTGAATATTTTATAGAATTTGATTTGCTGCATTTTATTCCACTGCTTTGAAGAATCGAAAAAAACAATTTTTGCGTTGGTCTGGTGCGAAAAATTGTCAGCACTGATACAAATCAGGTGATCAACTCGCCTTTATGCAAAAAAATCTAATTTTATAGTGATTGATCGTTTCTGCTGCGTTTATGTTTCTGTGACATCCCACAATGAATACCATGCAATAAAAGCAATGATTTAACAAGCTAAATTGCCTGGATTTATGCGGTTAATGTATTTGTTGTGTTGTGCTTGCTCAAAAATGGAGGCCGTCCATGAGGTGCAAATCATGAACAGGAAATCACCATTAAAAGCAGCTTAAATTGCAATTGAATGCATCAAACTTAAAATCTCCCGTGGGAACAGATGCGAATAACCGTCTTTGCAATGTGAAGTTTTCACTGTCCTCATTATGTTATGTGGCCAAACAAATTTCGAAAATTAAATTTAGTTGTTTTATTATCAGAGTCCGCGAACGATTGGTGTAAATTTCCTTCCAACTCTACCACTTCTATCGCGAGCTAATTAACAAACGAATTAATTAATTTTCACCATTCCAGCCTGTGAATCTCGTTGTTTTTTTATAAAATTTCCCGCCAAATGCAGATGTCTGCAGATGTTCTTTGAGAGTTTTAGGATTTTAATTAACAAACTTATGTAGAAGATCTGCTGCTGCTGAAGGTTTCATTTGGGTTTTACTTAATGAAGTATTTTTGCCCGGGCGCAAAGTTTAATATTCCCCATTCGATTCGGCACCCCTATTTTCATTCCATTTTTCTAGTCACTGCTTAAAATCGCACAGTAATTTACGTGTACGGTGCACACGGAAAGATCGGCAACGTTACAATAAATTTTACTTGTAAATGACTGTGTTATTTGTGCGGGATAATTAAAAGAGCGCTCTTTCCAGATGTAAGCAAAACGGGTTTAAACTTCGGTTGAAATTAGTCCAATAAGCAGAATTTGTTTGCATAATATAAGTCGATTCATTCACCAGTCAGCAGTTATAGTCCGATTTAATTCCGGCTGGGTTTTATTATTTGACTAGAATTAGTTTTTTGGTGGGCAATTAATTAGAGGAAACATATTCGGCGTTTGGGTATAAGTTTGT